ACTAGTAGTTGTTGGTGTTAGTTGCAGAAATTTTTCTACAAATGAAAGAATTTGCAATGAAAAACCATTCACAAAACCAATAAGTTTGATATTTAAAGCATACATGCAAAATATCAATCTTATGAAGCGTTTTATCCACATATTTAAAATTGTCCCTTTTAGGCGAGAATAAAACGATTACAAGACCCCAAAAATCAAATAGTGATTAAAAATGCTTTGGATTGTCTGAACACTTAATAATTTAAGGTAAGGAATCCAATTGCTAATAGCTCTAAGCTTTTCTTTCTTTGATAGAACGTCGCATCTAATACTTTCTTTACGTTTATCCCCATTGCAACGACATCTAAGGACTCCTTACTGATATCATTGAGTTTAACCAAAACTAAAGCGTATACCTAGTATACCTTACGTCCTTAGGAAAGTAGTAATGCCTTGCTTTGGCATAGCCCATTATTATTCTCCTTAGTTCGATAAGTGTCATTTTGGAATGGAAAATTTTAACTCAATTTTATAGGGACTTAGGGTTTCTATGTCAGTTAATTTAGGTGAACTAAATTAATCATTCAACATTCAAAATCCTAAACATGCATCAAATATCGCAATTATATATCAGAAAAAAATATATAAGGCATAAATAAAGATGCATTTGGCAACTAGCATGACCCCTTGAAACTTGAATCTTCAAGGGCCTTCAATGCATCTTCTTGGCTACGTCTTCTTTAGAAACTCCGTCTTCAAAACATAACCAACAATTTTGCAACTACTAGAAAAGCTAGGACTAAATTAACTAACTTAAGTACAAAAATACATAACGGCACGCAGTCTGTATTAAGATTTACAAAGATACAAAACGGAACGCAGTCCGTATTTACTATTCTCTTCGGGCCTCACTAGTTGACATTTTGTAAAACCTGCATTGGAATATCTATTCCATTCATCCATTAACTTCTGGCCCATGCATAAATCAAGCAACAATTCAAAGCGAGCGCAAACTAGTAACTAACAAAGGTGGTTAATCCAATTAACGCGCCTAATTAAAACTAGTGAAAGTAATTATCCGATTATGTGAATTCCCGCAATAATAATGACTCAAAACGACTAATGAAGCTCCCACTCAATTCCACAATCAACTTAATTAAAATTAATTAAGGCGATTAACCGTAAATCATGCCAAATAATTTTTGCAAGTGCCGAGAAAAACCAAGGCCTAGCCTCGTTTTAATTAAAACAAAACCGCAAAAAAATAATAACCCCTTAATGGCCGAGTGCATAGCCTCCAAGCCATGAGGCTAGGCTTGCTAGACACCACACCTAGCTACTATGCGCGGGCGCTGGCTTGCTAGCACGTTAACATGTAGGTGCCTGCTGGTGCGCTAGCGATACTAGCATGAAGCGCTGCTAGCATGCGATGCTAGCAAGCTAGCGTTGCTAGCTAGCTCGGCATGACACGACTGCCCAGCTAGCACGCTTATGCGGCTGCTGGGCTTGCGGCCGTGCCTTGCGTGCTAGCAGCCCTTGCTAACCGTATGCCCCTAGCCCTCGCATGCCAAAGCCATTACGAGGCTCGGGCTATACATTGTGACTAGTTGTTTGACTGATTTTTCCGTCTCGTTGATCCCTAAATTCAACTCGACTTTCGACGCTCAGCTCTGATGCTTTAAGTATGGAATCCGACGTCTTAGTTCGTAAAATCTCTATCGACTAATTTAATCCTTTGGATTAATTCGTCGTTTTGGTTTGGTAACACGATTGGGGCGAAGGGTTCAGTCAAGATTAAGGTGTAACATTAATTATACATTAATATTACTTATCGGAAGCGGTCTCCAGCTAGGCATTTTGGTCACTTCACCTCACTGAATAATTAGCTTTCCTAATTAATTACGAACCCTCTATCGGTATAATACACTTATTTGAAGGACATCATTCCTTTATATTAGGGATTTTTACCCAAGCCACGTGGTCTAGTAAGATCTTGATACGTGTCACCCTAGGAAGTTGGCACGTAGCATTCACATAATGTAGGAAATTAGCGGCCTTCACAGGCCGAATTCCTGAAGCGCCTTTTTACCACCAACGTAGGACTGAATGACCTACATAAGGGCACACATCTCAATGACCCTATAAATAAGGACATTTACCTCAATTTGGAGGCACATTCATTTATTACATCATTTACTATTCTCTTACAACTGAGAAATTACCTAATCTCGAGATTCGAGAAGATTCACTTTACTTTCCGCATTTTACTCTACTTTGACACTTACTAACTTGATCGTCAGAGGCGGAACTCTGAACACCCGGAGCTTCCGTTTAATTGCAGGTACAAGCGAAGAGGAATCTGGCTTGGTGAAGTAACTCTTCCGCAAGACATCTCGCAAAAAACCCTGAAACATTTAGCGTTGTCTGTGGGGAGAGTACCTCTAAGATGGTTTCTAGAGAACCTGTACCATCAGCTTAGGACAAGTGTCCGTCGGCAGAGGTTCATTCGGACCATGATACTTAGTCGGATCAAGATGTCGAAGTACGACCGAAGATGGATCCCTCATCTCTAAATGCATCCGCCAAAAAGAGAAAATGGAGCGGGGCTAAAATCAGGCAAGTCAAAGCAAGTCATCCGGCAAGCCTCTAGTTGAAGGGCAGACTGCTCACATCACTAGTGAAGAGTTCGTGAAGATCATGATGAACTTCAAAGGTGAGATGAAACATCTCATCAAGAGTCAAGCGATTGGTCCAAGGAAAGGACAGTCTGCTAAGAAATCTTCTCACTCTGGGAAGACAAAGTCGGTCAAGGACAAGCAGCCCACTCCACATCCCAAGCAAAAGGTAGGGGTCCGACCCTTGATTAACTGGACAAAATTCCGTCTCCCAGAGACGATGAAGGGGAAGCGCATCCGGTAAGTAATGCTGGATGGCAGCAAGAAGACTTTCACTGATGCTCGGCAAATCATCAAGCACGGGCGATACAATGCTAGACAGCTTCAGGAGTACCTCACTAAGGTATTCTCAATCAACACAAGAGCACCTGTCAGGCGGCCAGTGCGTCCACACAAGCCCTCATGTGATAGGCTTGGCGTCGTATGTGCCCCATCAATTATACAGGCTGTTTACCCAACCATATTAGCAACCTGCCCTCTTCGGAGGTCAGGCGGCATATCAAGTACAACCCTTTTACTGGCAACTCCGTTTGCTCAAGCCTGGAGAACAACCCTCTGCGTTCTCCAAGGAATTAACTGAGGCGGCACAGCCGGCCAAGGTTAAGAATGTCATGGATGGTGCCTATAATGGCACCACCAACTCAGAAGACCACCTGATGGCCTACACCAACCTCATGTACTTAATGGGTTTGATGATGCCACTTGGTGTGGGTGCTTCCCAGCTAGGGCGTTGCCTAACAGTGGTTCGGCTACTTGCCGTTTGGGTGCATCAACAGTTTCAGGACGCTTGCGTTCCTAATTGCCTCTAACTTCTTAATGAACAAAGCAGTCTAGAAGACTAGCATCAACATGGGCACGGTTGTTCAAAGAGATCGTATAAGGCTCCGTTCTTACGTTAGGCGGTTCAATCTGGTGAGAATCCAGATTCAAGGGCTGTATGACAAAAAAAAATTCACAGATTTTTTCATAGGTTTGAAGGATGGGTCATAATTCAAGTTTGACCTCGTCCAGAAGAAAATCTTTACTCTTCCAGAGGCTATGAGAGAGGAAGATGCCTATATATAAGCGACAGAACTCTGCTCCTCAAGCAAATAGTCGGACCCAAAGAGTTCTGACAAACAGAAGGTGAGTGAGCAAGATCAGTCGACTTAGAAAAATTAAGATAATAAAAAGAGAAAAGATGTATGGGCGGTCGACGACTCCAGTCAACCGTCCAAAAAGAAAAAGAAGGAGGTTAAGTCGTACGATCCTAAGTACGAGTTTAATAAGGACTGCTATTCCATCCTCCTGAAAATCAAAGACCGGGTGAGCTTTGAAAAGCCCTCGGCAATGAAGGGTCCGGTAAAAAATCGAGACAAGAGCTGTGACACCAACAACTGCTATAGCCTCAAGCAGTTGCTAGATAGATTGGCTAATAAAGGAGTGCCGAAGTCCTACATTCTCAAGTCCGAAGTGACTTTGAAGACAGACCCTTGGCAGCCGTCCAAAAAACCAGCTGATCGGCGGACAATAGGTCGTGTCTACTATCCTAAATCAAATCAACAATTTATATTCCTAACCTAACTCTATCAAGTTTTCACTAGATAGTGGCAAGCTAGGGTCGAACCACAAGGAAACGGGTATTGCACAATCAAAGTGGAATAAAGAATCTATTGCAAGTAACAAAGGGGTATTTTGGTATGTTTTTGTGAATATCTAAGATTAAACTATCTACCAAGAAAGGATTAATACAAGCAAAATAAGGAGTTAAATAAGAATCACCAAAATAAAGATGAAAGATAAGATTTTAATGGAAATATGATAAAAAACACTAGGGAGAGGGGGTTCCAATCATGATTTACTAAGACAACTATGATAATCATCATGGATTCATGCCAAGGAGTACAAACTCTACTCAAAATGATTCATTCTCATGCAATCACTCAAAGCAAGTCAATGAAATCGATCAAACCTAAACTAGTCATTCTCATGCATCTAATCTAGAACTCAAATATTGGGGCTAGAGGTGCACAACAATAGCTCCAAGCATTACCAGCACAAAATCATCAACTCAAGGCAAAACCCAATCAATCATCAATATAAACTCAATCAATCATGATTTTCACCCCCTTCCCTAGCTAGAAATCTAAGCTAGAGAAAGGAAGATAGCCATAGCAACTACACTAAACATGGATTCAATCCCAACAAAATCAAACATGATTCAAAACCAAAGAAAAAGCAATGAAATAAGTAAAGCAAGAAACTTTATGGAAATAAACACTATTAAGAACAATAAAACCAAATAAAAGATAAGGGGTAAAGAGATTACTACTATTAAACTTGAAGGATTAAGCAAACATGGATTAGTTGTATTGAAAAGATGAAAACTTGAAGGAAGCTTGAAAAGCTCTTGACTACAACAATGGAAACTTGAAGGTTAAGCTACTTTCTCTCTCTAATATGTTGATATTCTCTCTCTAAAAAATATTTCAATGGAATAGTGAATAATAGTTGTCAGGAAAATTCAAGCCAAACACTATATACAGTTTCTTGATAAAACAAACAAAATGGGTGAGGGAGAGGCCTCTCCCAGCCAGCTACCGCGCCCTCTCTGCTGTGGGTACGAAGTTGGGAAAACCCAGCTCATCGCACCCGCAACCACCTATGCTGCGCCCGCGGCCTTTTGCTGTCGCGCCCTCTCCAAGCCATCTCCAGAAACTGGTGTTCAGCTCAGAAGTTTCCTGTCCGCGCCCGCAGCTTTGGCCCCCGCGCCTGGGCTTGCTATGGCAGCGCACTCTCTCCTTTTTGCACCTCCTCTTCTTGGAATGAGCCACTCTAGCAACTTCAACTCCGCTTATCAACTCCAATTCCGCCCACGAGTGCTAGGAGCTATCAAAGCAAACAAATAAAAGGGTTTAAAAAAAGCAAAAGAAAAGATAAAAGAAAAGGAAAAACATGAGAAAGAACAAAAGTAACTAAAAAAAAGGTAAAAACGATAAGAACAGGTACAAACAAGTGACAAATAAGGGGAATTCATTAGTGAAAAAGGGTGAAATGGTGGCGTAAATGCCACTTATCACCAGCAAAGGCTGATAGTGGTTCGGAGATAGATCCGGACATAATCTGCCCATTGCAAGCGGCTTTGCCTCCGGTGGCCTAACTATCAGAGGCACCAAGGACCATGTTTGACAAATGCATGTAAGCTCAGTCGACGAGGGTCAGACGTCTGCCGACACTTTTCCTGAGGTCGTCATCTCTGAGAAGGACCGGGGCAAAGTCCGCCGGCTGCATGATGACCCCATAGTTATTGAATGCAAGGTAGCTTACCAAAAGATTGGTCGGATCCTTATCGATACCAACAGTTCATCTGATATTATCAGTTAGCAATGTTTGTCGAAGCTGAACACTAGGCAAAAATTGCTAATCAGCACCAGTTCAAAATCCCCATTTCTCACCGATTTTGAACTGGTTCTGATTTGAGGGATATCAAATCCCAAGACTTTTCGCACCAGTTCAAAACTGGTGCGAAAACTTATTTTTCTCACCGGTTCTTGATGTGAACCGGTGCGAAAAGTCCCCAAAAAAATTAAAAAAAAGAACTTTTAGCACCGGTTCTTGCTTTGAACCGGTGCAAAAAGTGGCACAAAAATAAATAAATCTTTTAGCAGTAGTTCTTGCTTTGAACCGGTGCAAAAAGGGGCCAAAAAAATTTAAAAAAAAAACTTTTAGCACCGGTTCTGTTCAAAAATCGGTGCCAAAAATATCACAAAAAATAAAAATAAATTTTTTTTTTTTTTGGCATTTTTTTCACTTAAATTGATGTATAAATACTAACATATATATAAAGTTACATATTTTCATTAAAAAAAAGGCTATACTATTACAATTTTCGTCCAAAAAAAATTAAATAACCTAGACTTATCTTTGAGTACCTTTCTTGCATTTCATTTAACTAGCATATGAAAGTCAAGCTGACATAATAACTACTGATAATATATTTCACGTCGGAACTAATAAACTGACAACAGGGAAACAAGCTGATAGGACAAAAAGAACCTGTGCCCACCATTTTCTCAAGTTGTTCAACCAAAGACAAAAGTAACCTGAATCTGGGACCAATAGCAACGGCATACAAATTAAGAAGCCTCTTTGCACGATCTAATTCATATTCTTTGGTATTTTCTTCCACACTAACACCATTTTCAATAGCTAGAAGAGACTTTGTGATTTTCCCTTTCACTGCATCCCAGGAACAGTGACAACCAAGCTGATCTTCCTTTTCTGTTGTACTGCAAAATTTAAATATAGATAAATAGTAAAAGGAAGAGCAGAAATTAGAACAAGAAAATTTAGCACATATCTTCATAAATTAAGACAGTGCAAACTACAATTGTACAATAGAAGATGTATGCTAAAGAAAATCAAACTTTAAGTAAGCTTACCTACCAAAAAAGATGGGACTTTCAGGGAGCAGCAGGTCATTTGACTTGTTCGTTTGGGATCTTATATAAGAGCCCCCAGAAGGAATGACTCCAGCCATATAAGCAAAGATTACACTAGCAGTCAGAAGCACTTGGTCAATGACAGGGACCCAGCTAGATGCAGCAGCACTCTCAAAGTCTATCATAGTTCCCAAGCAGCTACACCTCATGGGACTTCCATTAAAAACAGGAGTTGTGGAAATAACTGCAACAGACATAATACTATGCTTGATGACTCTCCATGAAGGAAGTGATGCAGACCTATAATTTCTGCTGAGAAAAATATTAGAAGTTGTCAAAACCTCCATAGAGGTACTTTTGCAGACATATAATCTCTGCAGAGAAAAATATTAAAAGTTGTCAAAACAAATTATATATTAAGGCTGCCCATCTCCCCACAAATTAAGTTCATTTTTTGCTCTCTTTGTCGTAAGCTTGTGGCAAGCTCGCAGTTGTAAGAATCATAGATTTTCAGCTATTAATCACAACCACAGAAAGAGTTGCAATAGCATAAATGCACCAAACTTCACTTACCTCCGACCTAGTAGCACCACCCACAATAAATACAAAGATACGTTTGCCCATCTTCTTAAAATCACTAAAAGCATGTCTGAGAATTGAATCACTAAACACGGAAAGAAAAACAAATTCACAATATAAATTTCCAAAAAACACAACACTTGAGTACAAGGAAAATATTAATTCAGCCACCCTTAATCTACAATATAGTCGGCCATAAAACAGGTAATTGGAAGAGTTAACATACACTAAGTTTGGATAGAGTAATATGGAGGGAAAGAAAGAGAAGAGATAGTGAGGGATTGATCTTTCCCTGGTTTAATCATGAATTAGGGAAAGGTATTAAAGAGATCCATATTCTTTTCCTATTACAGAGTATTAATTCAAATGTATCAAATCCTTGCATTGTTGGAAACATTTTGAAGGTAAATTGAAACTCACTCTTCCCTATCCTCACCTCCCTTCCTTCTAAAATAAGATAAAATAAAATAAAAACAGGGTAAAATGGAGTAAGCTAAAATGAATAAATCAGAACATAAATCCTTTCTCCTGCTTTCCAATGAGATTGTAAGCAGTCCTCAATGTCCAAAACATCTTAACGATTTCATAAGCAAATCCCCAGACATGAATTAACATAGTAATCTTTCTTCTACATGGCACATGACCCATTATGCATACCTCAACCATTGGATAAAATCGAGATAATTGCCATGTTGTTTCTTCTCCAACACGTTCCTTTCTGACTCCATGTTTTTTCTGATTACAAAAAAAAAATATGTGAGGGGAAGAAGATGCAGTAAGAACTAGACATTAGTGAGAGCAAAGAATTTTTTTTTAAAAATGGCACACCTTATTATCAAACTTTAACGCAAAAGCTCCTATAGAGCTTTTCTTTGTTTCACTGCATTTGTATCATCTGATAATAACCCTGCTAGCTGAATAAATCAAGAAACAAATGAAATAGTTAACTAAAACTACAAGTAAAAACCTAACTTTAAAAATATAGAAGACTTAAAACAGTGAAAACATTTTTGCACCAATACGATAAAACTTAACCTACTACCCTTTATTTTTCCCCTCTTTTCTAACTTGTCAGGCATGTAGCACACGTACACCCCTCTATCCAGGAAAAATAAAGAGCAAACTTGTGACATTGGATCCTCTCGTGACAAATAAGAGATGAAACAGCCGTAGAGATTTGTGAATATAAAACATCTGCAAGGAAATTAGGTATTGCAATTCATTAAAACTTATACCCACCCTTCACCTACCCCTAAATAGACACACAAAGGAAGGAAGAGAAAACTTCATGCTAAATTGCTAAACACTATCACACAAAGTGTTACTTTCATTGAAACAAGTTTCAGAAAGACAATTTAGCATACATTCGATTGTGGTGAAAATATTGAGGCAATGATGTTAAAATTCCTACCAAAAAAAGTTCACATTTTCTCATTTTTCGTAATTTAATAATAGAATTACAAAAGTACCCAGAAGGTATTCTGACTTTTCAACCGAAGGTAAATGCTTTCCAGAACACTCACCCTCTCCTTTACATAGGAACCCAACTCACATTCTACCATGACCGTCAAATAAAGTTTATGGGGGGAAAGCCACCATCAAACCACTATTGGGGTGAAAAATGTCACAGGAAATGGCATGGCTAGGGAGAGGAGGTGATCCGTGAACGTACTTGGACAACAGTGACAGTGGAGGGTGTGTGTGACTATAGGAAAAGGGGGATTTTAAAATATTGTCCAAAAATTTTATTGCTTTTGAATATTCACTCTTAAATAAAACACTTGGAAATTGAAAACAGGAAACTAAAGAATATGGAAGACAAATTTTTGACTAAACGCACCCTTAAAAACTTTCCAGCTCCAACACGAACACTTAAATGCATAATTCTGAACCCTTTTATCACCCCTCAATTGGACTAGACTGTGACTGGAAGAAGAGGGAACTTAAACTTATTCTAGGGCTTTCTATAGCTTTAATATTTATATTCTTTAAAAGCACTTGGAAACTCATGACAGGAAAGTAAAAGATAATGAACAACAGAGAGATAGTATATTAATTCAACGGAACACACCCAATAATTTTCTTCACCAGTAACACAAACACTTACCTGCATCAACTGTGAACCTTTGTCACCCTCAAATTTCTCGGGGTAAATAGCAGCATAAACCATCAATAATCGCAACTTATTCTCACGGCTTAAATCCTGTCAAAGGGGCTTCAACATTGTCAGAAAAGTATTACAAACTTCATATTAGATAAAAAGATGCATGATTCAGACTACAAAGTCCCTACCGTATGCATGCTTAAAATTTTGATAACTTTTTTAGTTCCAGCATCATCAAAGACAAGATCCTGTTCCAGTTTACCAACCTCCCTAAGTTTTTGCTCTCTTATGATACGGGTATGAATTCTGGGGTTTGAACCAAGACCCATTTGTTTGCAATTGAAGCTTAAAATTCGATGGCACAGTCCCACATTCCACCATTTTTCTGGAATTTCAATCTCACCCAAATGCTCAATAAATTTTATTCTCCCAATCAAATACGAAAATAAGAACTTCGTTTATGCTTGAATCTACTGAAAATTAATTATAAACAAACAAAAATCAATATCTAAACAGACAACATATTCATTAATTTTCAAAGAAATGGGATAAACTTCTAAAAAAAAAGGCGTAATTGAAGTGGGATTTAGGGAATTGGGGGTGAGAAAATGGTAAATTAGATGATACGTGGAAGTTCATTTTCATGAATTCATGGTGTTAGAGGGAGAGAGGAAGGAAGGAATGGGCTGAGTTTATGACTGGTTTTGCAAAGTTGAATAATGGTGGAGGTGGTTGTGGTGGAGGTGGTTGTGGTTGTGGTGTGCGCTTCAATGACAAACCCTAGATTACCACAACCCTAAAATTACTAAATTGAAAAGCAAATCAACGAAAAACCCTAGATTGCGAAGGAATTCGACAAATTAAGAAGACCACAGAAAAAATCTTACCTCGAAGCTGCTTCAATGGAGGTGAGAAAGCTCAGAATCCGCTTCAATGGAGAATAAAGAGCACGAGTTCAATGCAGGAGAGATATGGAGAGAGAAGGAGGTGCGGCTGCTTCAATGGAGTGAGAAAGCTCATAAACGGCTTCAATGGAGAAGGTGGGAATTCGGAGGTGGTGGAAGAGAAGGCGAGAACGAGGGATAAAAGAAGATGGAAAAGCAGGGGAAAGAAAGGAAGAAGAAGAAATACGCGAGCCCGGCTTTTTTTTTCAATTTCGCAGCAGTTTGAACCGCTGGGAAATCACTATTTCGCACCGGTTTGGTATGAACCGGTGCGAAATTCCTTTCACCCCTTTTTTTCTCTCTTATTTAATTCGCACCGGTTTATTAGCAACCGGTGCGAAAATTCTTTTTCCCAATCCCGCCCATTGCTTTTCCCACCGGTTTTCAAGAACCGGTGCGAAAAGTGCGGTGCCTATTTCATTTTTTTTACTAGTGGAAGTACAACCCAGGCAGCATGTACAAGGTCACTCACCCCTTAGTTGGTTTTGGGGTTGGAGTTGTGCACTAAGTCGGTCTCATCGATCTAGCTATCCGGTTGGGAGAGAAAGGAAAGGGGCGGCACATGGTCGTTCGGTTCTTGACCGTGGAAGAGTTGACCGCTTATAATCTCATCATAGGTCGTCCAACTCTAAACAAATCCAAGGCCGTCATTATCCCCTCTCTCATGCTGCTGAAATTTGAGAAGGATGATGGCTCTGTCGACTCCTTGAATGGAGATCAGAAGACTACTTGAGAGTGCTACCTCTCAGACGTCAAGCCCATGGCAGTTGGCTGGGACATAGAGTCGATAGACATTGACGTTGTCAAGGAACCTGAGGCTGCCCCACAAGTAGGCGGCAAGAAGCGAAAAGCCGACCAGCTGGTGACTTTAATGAAAGAGAAGCAATAGCAATCACTAACTGGGGAACGGCCAGATGAACTCCGTTCGCAGTCGACTGGTGAGCACATTGACATCACTCTGGACGATGCATGTCCGGAACGTACTGTTAAGGCGGGGACAGTTGCCTTTGCAAAATTGGGGGCAGATTTGCACAATCTGTTAAAGGAATTCAAAGATGTATTTGCTTTTGAAATGGAAGAGATGCTAGCCTGTCAGGAAAAGAAAAGGAATCTCGGCGAGGAGAGAAGTCATTCAGCAGTCGCCGAGGTTAAGATGCTGTTAGACGCCGGGTTCTTTCAACAATGTCACTTCCCAAATTAGGTAGCGAACGTTGTTCTTGTGAAGAAGGCGAATGGGACCTGGCGCATGTGTGTAGATTACACAGACTTGAACAAGGCATGTCCGAAGGACAGTTACCGGCTTCCAAAGATCGACAGTCTTGTCGACTCTGCAGCTAGGCATGCCATGATGAGCTTTATGGATGCCTATTTAGGCTTTCACTACATACCCATGTGGAAAAAAGATCAAGAGAAGACGACATCCGTCACTAATCAGGGGTTATTCTGCTATATTGTGATGCCGTTTTGCTTGAAAAATGCGCTTGCTACATTCCAACGTATGATTAACATGGTCTTCATCAACCAGATTTGTAGGAATGTAGAGGGGTACATTGATGACTTGATAGTTAAATCCAAGCTACAAACAGATCATCTCACTACTACAAATCCCGGCCTTTTGAGACGCTTTTTTCCATTATTTATGACGCGGAAAAGCGTCGCTAATTTTTTTCGAAAGAGTCGAGAAATTCGCGACGCTTTTTCGTGTCACAAATCTCGACGCCATTTTATGTCCCAATATTTTTGGACGCTTTTTAGTGTCTTAAATATCGACGCTTATTAATGTCTTATATAATATACTAATCGTCGAGAATTTCGGTTTTCAAGCTCCACCACCAAATTTCTAGACACTTTTTCCCGTCTACATTGTTGACGTTGTTTTTAGTCTCAAAATCAGTTGAGACGCTTTTTAATGTCCACACAGAAATATTGGCGGGAAATTTTGAAACGGATTAAAGTAAAATATCTTGACAACAAAAAGCGTCTAGATTTTTTTTATACTGTTTTATATATATATATATATATATATATATACATATATATATATATATATACACATATATATATATATATACACATATATATATATATATACACATATATATATATATGGTAATTACCAATAATATTCTATTACCAATAAGAGGGCTGCAAAGCTGCAAAAATAACACCAATAATCCAACGGCTTAACACCCAAGACACCAAACCAAATTAAAATAAACCAAACCAACAAAATAAGATCGGCAACAAATTAAACCAAACTAAAAACCCAAATAAAAAACAATAAGCTTACACAACAAACCAAAACAACAAAACACCACCCCAATTCACCAACAACAAAACCAGAAACCTGCCAACACAAGATGGCAGGCAGCCAGGAGCAGCCCCATGCAGCCAGCAGCAGCAGCAGCTCTAGGCAGCCAGCAGCCAGCAGCACCAACAGCACCACCACCACCAGGCAGCCAGCAGCAGCAGCAGCCCCAAGCAAGCAGCCAGCACCTAAAATGCCACCAAAAGCAAGCCAAACCAAATGGGCAGCAACCAGAAACTCAGATCAGAACATAATAAACCGCAGAGCATGTGCAGCACGTTAATCATAAAACATATACAATAAGTTTTTTCAAATATATATATATATATATATATATATATATATATATATATATATATATATATATATATATATATATATATATATATATATATATATATATATATATATATATATATATATATATATATATATATATATATATCATGTCCAAAATATCATCATTATTATTACATATATCAACTGTCAACTAAATTAAAAAGTTAGATTGACGCCTACATAAGTTAAATACTAACTATAAAAAAAATGCGTATATAGTAGGCTAATTTCCATCTTTAGTAGATTTTCCTTGTTCTCCCGTTGCATTCATAACCTTCAAAAAAAAAATATAATATAAGTATAATATAATATTTTGATTGTTAAAAAAAATACAACTCAAGAAAGATGCAGGCAGCAGCAAGACACAAGGCAACATCAACAACTCAAGGAAGATGCAGGCAGCAGTGACACAAGCCATTAAGCAACAACACACAAGAGTTATGCATAAATAAACAATGAGTAACGGAAGGACTCTACAGCAGTTTCTACAAAGTCATTCACTGACAGTAGCTTTTCCAGGGACTTAGGTGGTTAATGTGTTTGATTAGCCCATTGCATACTTCTAGTTCTACCTGCAATCACTTGAATGTCTCTTTTTACTTCCAAGGCTTCAAGGGCTTCAACTAGCATGCATAATTGGAATGTGATAATCAGCTATGTTCCATGGATTCGTATCGATCTCCCCTTGTTCCCATGTTAATTTAAAAGCTACAAGTGATAATAAAATAAAACTTAGGTTTTGAATACTGAACAAAACTTGTCACCACAGATTAATCACAAATTTCTGAGAAAATTCTCAAGCTGCCTAAGGGGATTCATACCATCTATTAAGGAGAAACTTAACACACATATTGATAGCAATGCACAACATCACTCAACAACAAAAACACAACTACCAGCAATAACAAAACATATTGACAGCTTTAATGTATGAAAATGATGGTTATTCTTAAATTTGTAATGGACCCAATTACCAGCCAACCATTTCAAGCTTATACTCGGCGGCCGAGGCAACGACAACAACATCACAGGGAGCAGCTACAACAAAACAAATCTATTGGACAGCAACCAAGCCAGGGTCAAGCAAGCAACAGCAGTACATCTTGCTAGGCAACAAGTATTCAGAGAACTCAAGACTTTTTGGAAGAACCTAAATTAAGCAAAGGGGGCAGAGAAGACAGAATTTCACCTTTTGGGAAATAAGACTTTAGGCTCTTATTCTAATACTTTTGTAATTAGCTATGTTTAGCGTTGCTAGCAAGCAAATGTAATATTTAGGGAAGTCAGAATTAGAAAAGGAGGTATCCAGAAAGTTGTAAGGAAATTCACTTGGAGAGTGGTTACCTCAAGTTACTTGCGAGTTATAGTCGTTAGCTATTATCTTTTGAATTACTTTGATTTACAAATTCATTGTGATTCTAACTATTTTAATCATTAATCAAAACTGCTGCTGCTGTGTGAGAAATTCTCGTATTAATCTAGTGTAAATTGTTGAGAGTGGGAAATTGAGAACACTTGTGAACAGGGCCGAAGGTGGAGGCTCCCTAATATCTGCCAAAATTTTATCAGAATAGATAGAAAATTACATGTTGGTTTGTCACTCCCAAGACTGATTTGGCACAATTAAGAATTTCTGTTGAACCCTTTCCATCATTAACTCCACCAACAATTTGAGAAAACTGTCCGATAAGGGTTTTAAGAAGAATATTATTCTCTTGTACTTGGTCTTTTAACTTTTCATTTTCCTTCTCAAGTACTTCATTTTTTTTGTGCAAAGCAGACATTTCCTCTTTCACATTACTATCCATTACCACGGTCCTTTGTTTAATTCTTCTAGGCCCGTCCTTCCTTAGCAAAGCATGCACCCCGTAAATGTCGCTCTTTCGAACCCCAAGTCCGTAACCTGTAGGACGATCAGGGATCTCTCCACCATGCATGGTCAGCTCAAAGGCTTCATCTTCAAGTTCTTGTTGGGACTTAGAAGGGTTTATCAACCTCAACTGTTCAACTTTAGCTTTCGCATCATCCTATAAAAAACATCAAATAATAATATAGTGAAAGATCGACTCATTTCCACATAAAATGACAAGCTTTAAAACACATTTAGATCTTTTACCACAAAATCTTCTGTCATTGTGCCCGGAAGAACACTTCCATCCTTGCCTGTATGAGCTTTTATCCAGAGAGCTAATAAGCTCATCTTTTCTCCATGCTCATGTTCCTATATATATTATTAATGTAAGAAGCATAAGTGAAAATATGAACAAGATAAGTTCAGAATATAGTAGTTAAAATATATGTTTGTAACGTATGCAGATCATTAATAAGAATGGTTAATACATGGTCAGCTTGTTTGTTCGCAAAACTGTTAGAACCGCATCTATGTAATTGATTTAGGGAGGCCCGTGCTGCTTTACCACATGTTGATAGTGACTGCACTCATATTCAAAGTCATATATAAAATTATATTTGCATTAAGACCAAAATTAACTCTAATTAGAAAACATGATGTCTGATATTTCAAATAGGAAGAAATGTACTTACTTTCCCTTTCTCCGAATCCCAATACTTAAGTAGCTTTATCCAATTTTGACTACTAATCCCATGCGGTGGTGTAGCGCTACACATCTCTTCTAAAGTTTTCTCTGTTGGTTTGTAGTAATCCTTCTTAAGATTAAACTTATATTGCCTCCAACTTTTATTAACACGCTTGAGGGCTGCTTTGTTATATAGTTCACCTATGGGAATCACAAAGCGATCCTTATACATGAAAAACAAGTAACTTTAGTAACAGTATTTATAGGTTAGTAAAAATAAATTAATTCATGAATGAAAAAAAAGTTTCTTATGAAAAGTAATAGAAAAAAGGAGATACATACTCTCATCTCATTAATTATCTTCTTTTTAAAATGCTCATCAATAGCATGCCAATCCTCTTCTCCAAGTGGACAATACGTCTCTATCTGCGCAATGTTACCGAGGAATCAGATTAAAATATGCCCACCTTTTCGGATGGGTTGGTACAGCTCATTAAATTCAACATAGAATCTGACACCGTTATTACTCCAAACATCAATAGGCTGAATAGAACCACTCAAGTATACAACGTTACCATTAGCATCTGCACAACTAAAAAATGATGAGTACTCAATTACCCATTCAACAAGTAACAACTTTCTATGGAATAATTGAACCAACTAATCTGGAAAGCATAGCTGCATAAGGAATCATCAGGAAAATATATAAACAAGAAAATGAAACAGAACATGTCTAAAAAATTCCGAGTTTCTGACAAAGTAACATTTGGAAAACCTGTAAGATGATAGCTAATATGTCAAAACAATTTTAGCAATAAAGTACAAAACATTTCATTAAGTAGAATTCGTTTTACAGTAAGGATATATTATGTACTTTCGCCAGGCTATTCAGTTCCTCAATGCCAGTTCAACTTTGATGACCTACTGCGTATGCTGTTACTCTGTTAGTATCTGACTTTTGTGTGCCTAGAATGCCCAGTTTCCTCCTTTGCTCAATGCAACTATTTAATACACAGCTCTTACAAGCATTACCATGTGGTGAGATATAGTCTTGATGCTACATCATATAATCGAGATATAAAAATACATCATAGAAGCAATATACAAAAAAAAAAAAAAAAAAAAAAAAAAAAAAAAAAAAAAAAGCATGATACTTTACTAAAATTCATAATAAATCATTCACAGAAATAATGTTCTGCTTGCTAAAGCATTGATGTGACAAGAAGCATAATATACTTCAAAATACACACATCTATCTACATACTGGAATTATATAATAAGCAGATTTACATTGACCATAAACAAGTCAATAATATATTCATTAATATGTCAAAACTATCAACCAAAAAAAAAATTGAGAATATGTAAAAAAATTCAAAAAGCAACATACCCACTGTCAAAACCTCTTCTTTGTCATCAAAATCATTTACAGTCATAGGCCAATCAGGATGTGACTTTGATCGTAGAGACTTTACTTGTTTTGAGCTTTTTTTTGTTTCCTCACAATTCTTTTCCTCCGTTTCAATATTAACATCTTCTTTTCTGCTTTTCTCATTTGAATTGAGTAAGTTTAAGGAGGAGGACTGATCAGAATTGAAAGAAGATGTAGAAGGATATTTTAGTGACTTTGATGTAATAGAAGGTGGGATGTTAGGTAAGCTCATGGATGAAAGTGTGGGTGGGTTTTCTTTACCAAAACATGATGGTTCTTCAGCCACCTTCTGAGAACTTAAAGTTGGAGTCTTAAGATTGGTGCGTTTGATGTTGTTGATGTATTCAAAGTTGGAGTCTTAAGATTGCCAGGTGCGTTTGATGTTGTTGATGTATTCAAAGTTGGAGTCATATATTTTTGAGCCCGATTAGGATGAGATTGAAGCCAAAGATGAGGTTTAATGTTTTTCTTCTCAAGAGCCTTTCTAGCTTCTAGATCATCTCTACTTTTATCCATATCTAATAGAGTTCCTAATAGATTATCACACACATTCTTCTCAATGTGCATTACATCTAAACTATGTCTAAGAAGATTATGTTCCCAATATTCCAATTCAAAAAATGCACTTTGCTTACGCCATATAACATCATCGGCATCAGCTTGATAATCATCATCAATATCTGTTGTTCCTCTATTTTTTCTTTTGTTAGAAGCTTTTTTTCGAGGTTCCGTAAACATACTTAACCTTTTCTTGCTGCTTCAAAACATCGGTCCCACTTAAAGGGATTGGAGCAAGACCGTACTCTTCTTTCCCATCAAATAATTGAGCTTCAGAGCGATAAGGATGATCGATTGGCAACCATTTTCGATGTCCAGGGAAGACAATTTTACCACCAAATCTATATGAATAAGTAGAATCAGCACAAGAAGGGCAAGCTTTATAACCTTTGGTACTCCATCCCGACAACAGAGCATATGCTGGGAAGTCATTTATTGTGGAGTGTAAGGCCGCTCGCATCTTAAAAGATTTTCCACTGTAAGCATCAAAAACATTTACAACTTTCCACAACAATTTCAAGTCATGTATTAATGGTTGCAAGTATACATCAATATCAATACCAGGACCATATTTACCGGGAATAATCAAGGACAAAATGAAAGATGATGACTTCATGCAGATCCATGGTGGAAGATTGTAAGGAATTAAAACCACTGGCCATGTACTGTAATTGGTATTCATTAGACGATATGGATTAAAACCATCACTAGCTAATCCCAATCTAACACTGCGAGGGTCAGCAGAAAATTCCTTATATTTTTCATCAAATTTTTTCCAAGCAACACCATCTGCAGGGTGCCGTAGGATCTTATCATCCTCACAGCTAAAATGCCATCTCATATCCTCTGCTGTTTTAGAAGACATGTAAAGCCTCTTTAGTCTAGGTATGAGAGGAAAATATCGCATAACTTTAGCTGGCTCACCTTTCTTAACTGATTCATTCTCTTTTTCAATTTTGTCACCCTCCTTCCCTTTCATAGTTTTCCACCTTGATGTATGACAAATATGACACTCAATTTCATCAGCAAATTCCCCCCAATATAACATGCAATCATTTGGACATGCATGGATTTTTTCATATCCTAATCCCAAGTCTTTGATTATTTTCATCCCTTCATAGTAAGATGATGGAAACTCTTGAATATGAGGGAATGCGTCATTTAGAAGTTCAATCAATTTATTAAATGACTCAGCAGACCAATGAAACATACACTTAAGGTGAAACAGATGTAAGAGAAATGATAACTTTGAGAAAGTAGTACAACCCTCATATAGACCCTCGTTAGAAGCTTCCATGAGACGTTTATACTTTTCCATTTCTTCATTAGTGTTAGTAAGGCATTTCATCATCTACCTCACAATGAAAATCAAACTCTTCATGCATGTCATATGAACCTTCCTCGTCAAAATTCGTTTCATTGGATGATGGGCCTTGGAATTCATTAGTGGATTGTGGAATGTGAACCCCGAAAGCCGCTCTTAGTAGCCCATCCATATCATCTCGATCTACTTCCTTCCCATGATCACTAGGGGGCTTTATGGTTTTACTCCCTTCACCCTCACAATGAAAAATCCATTTTCTATAATTCTTATAAAAACCGTTAAATAAAATATGGCCTCCTACTTCTTCTAAAAGATGCCATTTATTTAACTTGCACTTATTACACGAGCATTTGGTTTTTCCATCAATAAGAGTCTCCTTAGCAATCTCTAAGAATTTCATGCAACCCTCATAATAGGCAGATTTTCCTTTTGGTAAATCAATCCAACTAGTATCCATATCTACAATGAATTCATAATAAAATTTAATATTTAATAATTATTAATAAGTATCAATAATAAGTTGACAATAATTTGGTAATAAATATTATAAATGTTATAATTAAGAAGTGTGTAACAACATATTCCATCACTTAGGTTAATTTTAGCAATACTTTACCAAGGTTTCCCCTTCTATAGCTTTTATATGTTGTTATCATTGTGGTTGGAGACAAAATGCAAACAAAGTGATCAAACATAATAATACATGGAAGCATTCACAAAAAAAAAGATACATATACGTATTAATTTAATATAATTAATAAGCACATAGATAAGACATAATGAATTATATATAATATACTACCTCACTACAAATCTACAACTTAATTACTTACATTTTTCATATATGATCAATACCATAAATTGAGCTAAAACTATTTTGGGAGGGCTATCTACCATACATATGACACGAAAATATAATATACAATTATATGACATAAGATAATTTAGGAATTTGGGTAGTTACCTCGGCCAACTCACTAAGTGCAGCAACTATCACAATTAGAACAATTTTTAGATAAGCTCCTCCTCTGTCACCTATTAAACACAAAAACACAACTTCAAATTTTAAGATATGTCATAAATATTAGTCTATTGGATTAAGATTTATATATATTTTTTTACATAAGTCAAACTTGTACGATTTAATACAACCTATATAGTAAATGGAAATATATCAAACTATTCATAATATAATAAGCTATAACAAGATAGGCATACAGATAAGATGCAGGCATACAACCACTAAAACCACCCATTAGTCACAAGTTGTATAGATTTTCACACACTAGTGTAAACAACAATCTAAGACTACCTTTGAGGTAGTCCTACTAACATTGTATTGCCAAAAATAAACTCGGTATCATAAGCCTAACTACGACAGTGCAACCAGTCACTTCACAGAAGTAGCCAACAACTGGCAATAATTCACAAGTACATGGACAATTGTACCTAGCATAAGATCTTTCTCAATCTGCCTTCCTTCAAAAGTTATGAACAATCTGCCTATTTCAGAGTAATAGAACTCAACTAAGATTTATTTTCTGTACACATATCAGCATATAAAATGTTATAGAATCCAATTATAAAATGCAACTTACTGCAAGGGGCCATGACGAAATCAGTGAGATAAGAATTAAGGCAGCAATAAGTTTTTTTTTTTTTTTTTTCTTTTCTTGACAATTGCTAAGAGAGAGCATCAAGTTGCTGCCAAATAACATTAAATTTTTTTTTCTTTGTGCGTATGACAAGTAACCATAATTTAATAAAAGTTTTCTATGTATATCAACCATAATTTAATAAAAGATTATCTTGTCAGGCATAAAAATAGGTCCAGGAACCTCTATAGATTTCAAATGGCTAAAATATATATACATTATCCTACTAGATTCTGTGCGGACCAAATCTGCTAATTTATGGGGAGCCAAGTTTAAAGTACCAAAACACTTTCGAAAACATTAACTAGAAGAATAGGCTATCCCACATTCCCACCCTTCCTTAAATCAAGGATTACAAAGGAAATAAAAGAGGAAGGATAGGGTTAGCAACTTGGCAACAATGCAGTCCGCCAATGCACAAATGAAATATGAAAGTCATGATCGACCTTGACAATTAAGCAGACACAAAAAGACTTAACGTTCAATGAGATAGCTTGAACTAAAATACTCTAAGGGAGTTGACAATGATTCAATTCCACAGGCTAGGAATGATAAATAATCATTGACACTCCACTCCTACACTCACATAGCATGTGATAGGACACAAAAGCACAATACAAAACTACTAATTGCTTCTTAATTCTTACAATCCAGTCACAATCACACATTCATCAACATATAACACTACTGTAAATCACACATCTACCTGAATCTTTTTTAATATCCAAAGGTAAATTTGAGACTATCTTCCTATATCTGACCAAACAAGGGTATAACAAACAAAATAAGAATTCGGCTCCCCCTTTGGCTCAAGACTCTGTATGCAGTAGGTGACGATCCCAGAAACCCCAAATAAAATTAAAATTTGACAAAATTAATACAAAAAATCAACAATTCAATAAACATAATCAACCAAAAAAATACCAATCAATAATAAAAAGTATTATTTAAAAAAAATAATTAGACCATGACCTGTGATATAAATTCTTCACTTCTCTGCGTGGGTGGTTTCGAAATCCCATTAGCAAAAAGAATTCCCATACATGCAACGAATAAACAAAAATTCAGCATAAGCAACGAAATTGATAACGAAAACCTACGAAATTGATATATCAACCAAATCCTACGGAAAATTGATGACAAGAGCGAGAGGATTACTGAAAATTGAAGATAATATTGAAGAGAGCAACGAAAATTCAACAATTTCGAGTGGTTTTAGAGATTAGATGAGAGTGATTGTGCGTGAGCAAGCAAAGAAGATCAAGTTAGGGTTCGTTGTTGGGAGCTAAAGGGTTTTTTTTTTATTTCTTCTGACTGCTAACTGCGTATGAATGGCGGTTTATTTATTTTTATTTTTTTTTTTGGTTTAATTTAATTAGCCCGCTTTTTTTTTCCTTTGCAGTCCCGGGATATAGACAGTCACGTGCATATCACATGTATTTTTTTCGACGCTTTTATGTGTCGAGATCTAATGGTGACGCTTAAAAGCGTCGAAAAACACGGAAATAATTTTTTTGGCTAATGCTTGATACATGGCGTCGAGCACATAGCGTCCAGAAACTAAGGGATTTGTAGTAGTGTCTTGCTGACCTTCAAGAAACATTCACCAAACTCAAGCGGCACAAGGCCATGCTTAATCCTAAAAGTGTGTCTTTAGTGTTGAGTCTGGGAAGTTTCTCGAATTTTTTATTGATCAAATGGGGATAGAGGAAAACCCAGAGAAGATACAGGCGGTCATTGTCATGAAGTCACCTCGCACTGTCAGAGAAGTCCAAAAGAGATTCCTCAGCCGGTCAGATGACAAGTGCCTTTATTTCTTTCAAGCAATCAGTAAAAATACTATGTTTGAATGGGGAGATGATGCTTAGGCGGCATTTCAAAAATTGAAAGAACACTTACACCTCCTTACCAAGGCTTGTAAGCCCTTTGCCCAAGGAAATGCTTTACATGTACCTAGCCGTCTTAAATCATGCTCTTAATCTCGTTCTCCTTGTAAGAGAGACGACAACCAGCTCCTGGTCTATTTCATCAGCCATGTTCTTCGAAATTTAAAATTCCGGTACTCAATGGTAGGCCTGAGCACGGATCGGATATCCGTATCCGAAAATCCGGATATTTGATATCCGTATCCGATCCGAAAATATCGGATATCCGAAAATTCAGATATCCGAAATTTTCGTATCGGATAAGTCGGATATCCTATGTCTGAAATTATTAGTACCATACTTTAACTCAACACACGAATTATATTAAAATTGAATGTATTTTTAGGCTTAAGACATACAAGTTTCAAGGTAGATTTTACACAAAATGAGTAAAATGATACTACAGTACTAGTAGTATGCAACATCTATATCAACCAACTCAAAAACTAAACCAAATATAATTGATATAATGTTAATGACCAAAATAATATCTAAAACAACTCCAAAACTAAACCAAATGTAATTGATATCAAATTAATGACCAAAATGATATCAAAAACTAAACTCAACATCAACCAATACCTCAAAGGATTGTACTTCAATATAATTGATATCAAATTAATGACCGAATATGCTTAACCCAAAAAAAAAAAAATAACTTACTAATTAAATTGTAGAATGCTAAAACCCAATTAAATTGGGTAAACATACTTGATGCCTAACTAACAAATATACTCCATTTATATGGCAAACTTGTAACCTTCTTCTTCCACATCTGAACATGAATGATGAAAGCAAAGTGGGCTTGTAAAATCACGATCATCTTAAACATTTCTGAAGCAAGCTTGCGACGCTCATTTGTAGGTAAGTTGCGGGACACGAGATGGAGATGAACTCCGACGCTTTAGATTTGAATTGAACCTCATAGCAAACAACTCCTCGATGCGGTGGAAGAGTAGAAGTGTTGGTCCTGTTTGTGAGTATAAGGTGAATTGCAAAAGATGAAGAGAGAGGATGAAGGAGGGAGGAGGGAGGCTGAGATGAGAGAGGATGGAGGAGGGAGAAAGTAGAGGAGGAAGAGAAAGTATGAAAGAGGCGGATGGCTTAGGGAGTTTAGGCCCTTTAGGGTTACCACTTAGGCACTTACCCGGATGTTTTTAAAATGTTAAAAAAAGTGTTTTTTTTTCGGATATTCGGATTTTCGGATTATCAGATAGTTTTGCTCAGCCCTACTCAACGGTTGAGAAATTTGGCCTTTCTCTTTTCATTGTAGTAAAAAAGTTGAAGCCATACCTCTTGGCACATCCCGTGGTTGTCTACACAAACTAAACACTCAAGCGGCCAATGACAACTTTAGAGTCATCCGGCAGGATGCTCAACTAGGCTATCGTAATGCAAAGTCTTGAAATCACTTTTGAACCAAGGAAGGCAGTGAAGGGCCATGCATTGGCCGACTTCATTGTTGAAATGACACGTCTGGTAGAGTCGGAAAATTTGGATCAAGTTTGGAAGGTATATGTAGACGGGAGCTCTACTATTAATGGTTGTGGTGCAGGGATTATATCCCAGTCTCCTGAAGAGGACAAATATGAATATGCACTACGGTTTAAGTTTCAAGCCTCAAACAACAAGGCCGAATATGAAGCCTTGCTAGCCAGTATACGCATGTGTAAGGCGGCAGGGGCAAAGAAAATTGACGTCTGCTCGGACTCATTGCTGGTTGTTTGTCAATACCACGATGACTATGAGGCCACCCATGCGACTATGATCAAATATTTGCAGGCGACCAAGACGGAGGCTGGAACACTTGACGAATTTCATCAGAGTCACGTTCTCCGGTCAAAGAACAATCACGCGGATGCATTGTCAAAACTGGCACCATCCGCCTCCTGTGATACACCTCGGTCAGTTATTTGGGAATTGATTGAAAAACGAAGTATCGAAGAAGATCCTATTCGCGTGCTAGACCAAAGTTCAACCTGGATGGACGGCATCCGAGCCTACCTGCTAGACGGCACTCTGCCGGATACATACCTAGAAATGGCCGCAACAAAAAAATGTGCGGCCAACTTTGAAATTCGCAATAGAGAGCTATTTAAAAAGGGCTTCGTATTGCCTCTTTTGAAATCCATCACCTAAGAAAGGGGGCATGAAATTCTGGAAGAACTACACTCAGGCTACTTCGCCTCAGACATAGGCGGTAGAGCTCTTGCACAGAGGGCCAGGTGGAAGGGTTATTTCTGGCTGACCTTTGAAGCAGACGCCATGGGAATGGTGAAGAAGTGTGACAAATGCCAAAGGTTTTGCAAGCTTATACACCGTCCGACAACTAACCCAAAGGCAATTCATAGCCCTGTGCTATTTTCCAAACGGGGCATGGATATCTTAGGTCCGTATACACCTGCATTAGGCTAAAGGCAGTATATTCTAGTCATTGTTGACTACTTCACCAAATGGGTTGAGGCAAAGGTTGTGAGAGGCATAAAGACAAAGGACGTCATCTATTTCATCTGGAAAAACATCATCACGCGGTATGGGGTTCCTATATCTATGGTTTTTTACAATGGCCCACAATTTGAGACGTCTACCCCCAATTGGAAAGGTCCATACTGGATTTACAAAGAAGTCAAAGGCGGCACCTACCGCCTGGAAACACCAGACAGCAGGAAGGTAGCCTGAACTTGGAATGTACACAACTTAAAAAAGTACTACTTCTGAGACTTGTAAAAATTTTGTAAACAAATGGCTTAATAATGAGAATTGTTTTTTGTTTTAACTTGATTGTTATTTTTTATACGATTGAACCGTTTGTGCTATGTGCAAATGGCCAACACTTTAGATACGCCTCCCTATGGGTGCACCGCCTGTGCGATGTACAGACGATAAATCTGTACTAACCTTCCACTCTGATAGAGTGAGACATTTGGCGACATCCATTTGGGTGACTTCGCTTACAGAGAGCATCTCCTATTCGGGTGGCATATTGCTCTATAAACTCATACCATAAACGACCCAACCGACTGTCTTAATAAGGACTAGTTCATAGTCGTGTTTTTTTTTTTTTTGCAAAATCTAACGTGTGACCAAGATGGCTTAATTAACCGTTTTCCTTATGGGATAACAGGCGGAGGCCGGCTATTATTCTACTTAGATTAAAAATACAGTAAATTTTTAAAAGCAACATTATAAAACGTCTGCAATTGCTATGGGGCAACATAGGCCGTGAAAAAGCGTAGCCTTCCCTGTGGGATAGTTTGCATCTACTTCAAAGGGTTAAACTTGTTTACTGAACTGGTTTACTAACCTATCTTTCAGAAAGGTCATTAGACAGTCTAACTTTCTTAATGAGTAACTTGCTTATAGCAAGAATAATAAGACAGGCGTCAGAAAGACGTCTACACACGTTATTCTCCAAAGAGGAATTTGGTTATGTACCTGGATGAATGACCAAGACGGCTAAGAGTGGTCCCTTATTTGATGGACAAGGATATACCATAGGCCGTTTGGATATCCAAGCGTATACCGTCTGTTCCCCGGACGACTGTCTACTTGGTTTGAAGCAATCACAATAGTGATTGATTGAACTAGGAACTTGTCATACTCCTTTCAGTAAAAAATTCCTAAGTTAGTCAATCTACTTTTTTAAACCAACCACACAGTCGTCCAGGGGCAAGAGGCCAGCCGGTTTGACAGTTTCCACGTGCAATTAATAAGTTGGGTAAAAATACAAGTATATATAGCAAAGAAAAAATGCAAAAAATTGAAGCAAAACCGAATACACAATCGGCATATTCACATAAATTAAAATTTGAAATTGTTAACCGGTATACCAACCGGCAAAATCATTGTTGAATCCGACTCCTCGGTCGGTAAAAATACATAAATACTCGGCACCCAGGCCAAAAAAGCATAGTGTTGGGTCATCCAGCCAAAGGAAAGACACAAAAGATTAATTATGAGGAGGGAACTCCTCACTCCCCGGTCACCATATTGGCACCCTTGGCCAGCTCATCCTGCTCAGACTCAAGCTCCTCCTCATCCGTTGAATTGGCCGCCAACTCCTCTAACCCTTCCTGCAGCTGCTGGGCATCAAGCTCATCTGTGACCGCCGCATATTGACACGCCTAACTGGTATAGTCACTATCAAGAAAGAGAGTTTTCCAAGTCATCCTCATGCGAGTGTCGTAGTCGGCCTCATTCTCAGCAATCAGATTAGCCTTCTCTTCCTCGACCCTGGCCTTGAACTACCTCCTCAGCTGGATCTCTTGGTTAGACAGTTTGCATTTCAAGGCCGCATTCTGATTTCGAAGGCCTTCAGCCTCTTGATTAGCGTCCTCCAAGGAATTGAGGTTAGAGTTAGTCGTCTTGAGCTTAGCCTCCAACTCAGACATTTTGTTTTGGGCCACCTCCAAGTCGGCCATGACCTGTAGATTGGCAGTCACTTGTAAATACAGGATACCACGGGTTAGTGCCTCATTTTTTAATATGTCAAACATGGCTCTATCAACGGAAGAGGCAACCCGTTCTTTGTCAACTTCTACCTTTTTATTTTTTTTTTTTTTCAGAGAATGGCTTCTTGAGCCTGTTCACTCGCAGCATCGCCGACACCCGGCAAGAGCACTTTGATAATAACAGACGGCAGAAAAGAGTTAGAAAAATATTTTATTTAAAGCCAGAATACCTCAGCCAGCAGAGCCAGGATGACGTCGAAGTTAAGGGTTCCGACCCCTCTCACGAACTCCCTCTCGATAGAGGAGACGGCCTTGAGCATATTCTTTGTAAACTATTGAATATCTAACCTTTGGCTGACATCTGCACAATCAACATCTTTTAAGTAGCTGATGTAAGCCTGACCAATAGACCGGGTGTCCTCACAGCTTCTTGGCGACTACTGATATGACTTAACACTACAAAGGTAAGGCAAGGGATAAAATTCTGAGACACCTTGGGCAATAGCTCCCTCCTTCTCCATAGGAGATTTGCTCCTGCCTGTTGCTGCTGAGCCGATAACAGCAGTGGGTGGCTGGCCACCCTTTGACACCTTGTAGGCGTCAAGCTTCTTTAAACCTTCAAGAGAGGCGGGGGACTTGCCTCTGGTAGAGGGATGAGAGTCGTTCCCCGCCTAGGAAGATGGAAGGGGCTTGTCTGCCACATGCTTCCTAGACTTGCCAAGAATCTTAAAATCATCCGTCGTCTGCTTTTGCAGTTTCTAGATTAGTTGAGGCGGCGCTAGCGGTCTATTATGTCCCTCCTGCAAAGTATCAACCAAAGTAAGTTAGTAGAAAGCGGAAAAAGAAAAGCCGCTTGTATACAAAATACGAAAAGAAAACTGAAGATCTTTACATTAGCCAGTTGGTCTTTTTTGAACTCCTCAGCCTTCCGCTTTTTCATCAGGCGGTAGGCACCTATAGAGTTGGCAGGCTTCTTGCTAGAAGAAAGGTGCTCCATTGCTTCTTATGCACAAAACAAGCTAGATGTTACATTGACAAGACTTGGCAAATTGCCAAGTTTAATGGCACATCTGGCCGTCCACCTCTAGGCTTTTCCGAGCTAAGGCCACAAGCGGCTAAATAGGTGTTGTCAGCCAACTACTCAAATTTGGGAATTTGGCTATGGGGAATTATTTCTTTTTCTTTCATTCCCTCTATAGCTTGGATGGTGACTTTGAAGAGGCCAAGCTTAAGGATCTGGTCCCAACCCTATTAAAGGACAGGTGGCAAAATTATCATCTGTCCTAGGAGATAAGGGTCACGGTTCTAGGAGTTGAACTTTCGATTCCTCTAGGTGTCGGATGAAGACACAATGAAAAACTTGTTCTGCCACCCCTTCCATTTGGACTCCTTGCCAATGACCATCATATACCCCTTATGGCTTGTTAGGGTGTATCAGCCGGAGCCACTTGCCTTAGGAGTCCTGCTCATATAATGCACCTTGGCAAATTCTTTAAAGCTCGGCTCAACTTTGAGCATTTCACAGGCGGCAACATACCCCAAAATGATAACCGATGATTTTAGGGCAAGTTTCCAAATACCTTGGCGATACCCTTCTAGAATTTTCTCTACAGCCGCGTGGAGAGGGAATCTAAGGCTAGCCTGGATGGCTGCTTCTAAAGCAGCCAAAGCACTGGTCTCCATAGCTGGACCCAGCCGGCAGACGACAGTGTCCTCCAAGTCGGGGACATGGATTTCATAACCAGACCTCATGAAATGGGTAGTTCGAAATTCGTCCAGCTTCTTAAACATGGACTTTTGCTT